ATTAAAAAAAAAAGAGTAGTGATAGTGCTAGACTTACGTAAATCACTCTGTATATTTATATTTTCGTAATTTACAATTTAGTTTAAAAGTTAATGTGTCTCAGGGTTTTTTATAATTTTCATAGAGCCAAAAATAATTTTATTCCATAAGTGGTGTTCACACTGTATCAAAAACTTTGATTGTAAGTACATTTTGAAAAATTTACATTATACTCTTAATAACATTTATAACATTCCATTAGTTAACAAAAAGAAGACAATAAAAAGGAATAGAAAAGAAGCAATTAAATTAAATAATTATTCAAAATAATCTGAAAAAATCTGCCGCAACCAAAAAATAAAAGGGTGTTAATTTTAATAGTGTAAAAATAAAATAACTTTTGATAATAATGTAGATTGCCTTATAAAAACTGTTAGCTTTAAATAAATTGTTAGCTATTTATATAAATAGAAAACGCAACAGGCAATCGGTTTTTGTTTTTAGTTTTTAAAGATTCACCTAGAACCAAGTTGAAAAAAACTTTTAGGTAAAGATTGATTCAAAATATTTCGTTTTGACTTAGCGTGCTCAGTAAAAGTTGTAGTACTTTGTTGTCCGATAGGTATAATAAATGAATGAATTTATGTATGTATGTATGTATGAATTTAAAAAATTAAAATTTGGGTGTTGTCCGCCACTATTAAAACTAGTGGGGAATTAAAAAAGAATGGCAAGTGAATACCTGATCAGAACAAGGTTGTATAAAAAAAATATGTTTAGCATTGTTTCTGAAAGATTGTTGATTACAACCTTGTTCATGGCAAATATTCAATTTTCAATTTTACATATATTAAAAACTTGGATATACAATTTTTATTACGACTATATGTTGAAAATATCCTAAAGGTCAAATTAAACTTTTATACACTAATACTGACAATCTTATGTATGAAATAACTTATAATGACGTTAATGGAGAGATTATGCCATTGTAGTTCAAACAGAACTAACGGGGATTCTCATAGCAGCAAAAGAAATCACCAGTTACAATATCACTGGAAAAAACATGCTCATCTATACAGATAGCAGGCAAGCACTAATCATCCTGAATAGACCACGAATTTACTCAGCGTTAGTACTAGAATGTCATGAAGCTTTGGTCATCAACAATGTGGTCACCTTAATGGATCAAAGGTCACGCCACATCGAAAGGTAACCGTCTTGCTGATTCACTAGCCAAAAAAGCAGCCAACCAAATACTTTTTGTACCTGGTCCTTCTATTGGCCTGACAAAATCGGTAGTGACAGACCTAGTTAAAGAACATTACCTTCTGAAAGATGGGACGAAAAAAAAACTGCAGAGTTGCCAGGGAGCTCTTAAGTTATCCTGACAACACTGCAGCAAACAAATATTTGAATATGACTAGACAGAATCTGCGCCTAGTCATAGGCATTCTGACTGGTAATTGTCAAGTACGGAAGCATCTTCATACCATGGGGCTGTCAGAATCCGAACTCTGCAGAGGGTGCGAATATGAAGATGAGACCATCGTGCATATCCTTTACGATTGCTCGATGCTCTCATGAAAATTTGTGTTCGGCGAGTATCGGTTAACACCGGCCGATATAAAAGAAGCACCTCTTTTCGACGTTTTCAACTACATTAAATCTGTAGGCTGGCTCATGAGCTAGGAGGTGCCTATCATCTAAGAGGATGCACAATCGGCCTAGTGAAGCCTAAGTGCCGTGGGGGTAACCCACCCTCCACAAGTTACAGATACAGATTACATATGGAGATATTATAAAAGCAGACATTAGCAAATTTAATAGTAGCGATTATTATCTGAATAACATTCCATTAGTTAACAAAATAGTTGGGTTAATGAAAGATTATGGCTCAATTTGTAGGACTTCGATCAAAAATATATTCTTTTAAAGTTAATGTAACTGAACATGAATTAGAAGAAGAACGAAAAAAATTTGAAAAGAAACAATTAAATTTTGCAATGACAAAAAAATCAAAGGGCGTTCAGTTTAATCTAGAAAATAAAATTAATTGCTTTAAAGAAATAGCCCCAAAAAAATTTTAACAAATTGTTAGCTGTTCATATAAATAGAAAGCACAACAAGTCCTATTGGTCCAAGGTTAAATTTACATTTTTTTTTTTCGTTTTTTCTATCCTTAATAGCTTCTCTTGTTGTCGCCATCTTACTCTCGATCTTCTTTAGCTAGTTTGTGGTTTAAGACCGCTTTTACATCTATCCACCGTATTTTTTGAGCCTTATTTTCCCTTCTATGCCAAATCTAATCAAATTTTGTACCTTCACATATTTTTCTTAACATCTATCCATATCTCCAATTTGTTTTCTATATCATTATTTGTCGTTATTCGCCTTTTACAATTTGCAATTATTGAAATCTGAATCTCCCATTTTATTAATTCTGTATTGATACCCTTTTCTTCGTGCTTCCTTTATTTTTTATTTTCTTTTTTAATATTTCTTATTTCCATTCTGATTCCTCTTATAACTCTTACTCTTTTTTTTAATACTTTCTTTCAAGTCATTGAAATATTCTTTCCACCTTCTTTTTATATCTTCAAATTGCCATCTTTTTATTTTTTTATTTAGTAAACATCTGAGATTTAGCTTTTCTTCTTAGCTTTAACTACTTTTTCTTAAAATATTTTAAACATTTCTTTTAACATCTTCATTCTACATGTATTTCTCGTTTTAATTAAATATTCACAATCTTTTTTGTTTTGGCCTCGAACAATACTTCTTCTTGTATTTTTTATTTTTCGTTTGTACTTCCGTTATCCTGCACACGAAGTTTTTTATTTACTTTGCCTTTATATTCTTGCTTATTTATTTAGCCTTATTAGATGGATATGAATATTGCTAATAATGTTATATAAATGAAATAAATAGTATTACATGACAAGTAGGCAACTAAACTAAAATAATAATATCTATTAGTAGGCAGAATTATATCTAGATTTTCAGACCAATCTATTTTATACCTCATATCTTGACAATTATTAGTAAGTGACAACGAAATATCTGGTAATGGTCTTTACAGAGTATTGATTAGAACCAAAATATAATAAATAACTCTTCACTAGTCTATCCCTAGTTGTTTTACTTAGGAATTTAGTAATTAATTTAGTTAGGATGGAGGATGGAGTATTGCCTTTAAATTTAAGGTGATTTAAGAGCGTTATCCAGTACGCTACTAATTCAAATTTCAAATCTGATAAATAATACGCGACGTAGTACCTCTCAGCCCAATTTGGCAACGACGCGCGGTTAATTAAATGGTTAATCGATCCTGGAGATATGATGAATATCAGTGCGACGTTGTTGGTAGTTATTATTTCGGGTTAATCTAAATACATTTATAGATTTTTAGTAATTCCAGGTTTAGAAAAAAAAATAGTTAAAAAAAACTTATTTTTTAAATAAAAATACTGCTACATTTTGTTCTGTTGATATATTAAAAATGCTTTTTTTATACAGTGAGCATCATAAATCTTACCCCCCCTAACTAACTCGTTACTGGAGTCTTGTTAGGAAAATCGCCGAGACACGTCGATTTTTGATTTCTACAATGTACATGTTTGTATGAATAGTTTACCCTTAATTTCATCCCTTAATGGGGGTCGATTCTCGACTCGTAGGAATTTTTTCCTATAGGAATTTTTGACATTTTTCTATACATCGGAAATTTATGACATTTTCCTACATATAGGAAAATGTCACAAAATCCTATAGGAAAAGGTTCCTACAAGTCGAGAATCGGCCCCCTGGAGGGGAGCAACCCTTTCGAAAAATTTAAATGGCATGGGGTGGTGAGTGATAGCTCATTTGAAAGGGGGTTTTATTCTCTATTCAACCGTGCAAAAAATTTTGAAACTTTCCTTTAAAAATAACAAAACATCACAAATAGAAAAGCAACTAAACTAACAGTGACCTCATCTAATGGCAAAAAGTCTTACTTCACGTCTGAACCAAAACCGATATCATGCAAGGCCGAATTTTAATTCTAAGAATCAGTGCGCTACGTTAATTTCCGTTATTCTGAAACAATAATTAATGAAGCAAATTTCAAAATTGTTTACACAGTTGAATAGAAAATAAAACCCCCTTTCAAATGAGCTATCACTCACCACCTTATGCCATTTAAATTTTTCGAAAGGGTTGCTCCCCTCCAGTAAGGGATGAAAGTAAGGGTAAACTATTCATACAAAAATGTACATTGTAGAAATCAAAAATCGACGTGTCTCGGCGATTTTCCTAAAAAGACTCCAGTAGAGACTTATGATGCTCATTGTATATCAAAATTTAGACTACGTAGCACTATTATGCACGACTCCATAAATATGCATCGAAAATTTCATAAAAAAATATTAAAAAATAGTCCTGGAATCTTAGAATTACTTTTAAGTCAATTCTGGTACATGGATAACGCTCTTAAGTTTTCTAATAAAATCAACAATGTGTCAAACACAAACTTTTACTCTGGTAAACTAATTTAAACAGATCAAGGAGATGAACCTAAGTAATTTTAAACATTTTAAAATACATTAGTAATTCAATAATTTACATGAAACTCTAATAAATTGAACAACAAATACATTAATTGGTGAATAAAACTGGAGAACATTTTAGATGTACTCTTAACATTTCTATGAATACATATATGAATAGAGTTAATGATATTTTTCAGATAATTTTGTCTTATAAATATAAAGGAGTACAAATTTTTAGTAGGTAGGTTTATCAATCTTTAATTTCATATTTAAAAACATATTTTTACTGATAATCGACAATTTTCAACCATTAAGTAATTTTTATTAAATAATAAAATCTATATTTAAATAATTTATTAATTTTATTTAATTTTTCACTTGGCATGCAACTTCTGCTTTTAGCTTTAATTTTTTGATTTTTGGTTTTGTCGCTAACACAAAATTACACATTCATATTTCAATTTGTAAATCTTTGTACGTATTTAATAGAACCAGAACCCCCAGTACCGCCACCCAAAGGACAGTACGCAAGAAATCTAAATCAAGGTAAGAGTTTGCATTTTTTTTTTTTTATTAACAGTTAGTCACTAGTTTTCACTAACAAAATAGTAAGTATATATATATTTTTTTATGTTTCTGAAATTCATAAAAATATTAATTCAATAAAATAAGTATAGTCCAGGATCCGTATGTAAGGTCGATTTTCACCCATCTGTTTAATGGATAAAAGTTTTTTTTTTATTAAATAAAATATGTTTTTAAATATACCGCAAATGGGTTGAATAAGAAAATACGGTCACGGCTATTTTTACTTTCCTTTTTGTGTACAGATAAGGGAAGTATAGGAATCATGATTAAAGTTGCTTATGATGTTATTCTCTATTATTTTGTCATGATTTCCCTAAAATGGACCTCGAGATATTTAAGGAAAAGTGCAAATTTCGAAATTTGAAGATAACTCAGAAACGAATACAAAGAAAATCACCAAATTTTAAACTTAAATTTTAATCCATCCTGCAGTGAGCAGATTGAAGTTTGGGCATAGTCAAAGCATCTGGGGAATACTTTACAGGGTATCGTTTTTTTACATTACGAAAATAAATAGTTTGGACCGTATTTTCTTAGGCATTTGCGGTATATTTATAAACATATTTTATTTAATAAAAAGAAACTTTCATCCATTAAACATATGGGTGAAGGTCGACCTTACTTGGGATCTTAGACCAGTACTTGTAATAACCAATAAACAGTATACAAAGTGTTGAATCTGTGCAAAACTTTCCCAGAGCTATTGGGAAATTCGAAAGAAAACAAAAACCTTAATCTAATTTTTCTCAAAGGCCCATAACAACAAAAAAATTAATCTAGCATCAACGCATGAATGAATAATGCATTTAAGGAGTTAAAGTTGTAGTATTTGTTGTCATTATTCATATTTGCTGTTTTTTATATTAATAAAATGAAATTTGTCCAATTTTTTTTTGTTATTTCCGGTGTTATTTATACAGATTTGGCTTACACTGCGATATTGGCTTTTACAGAATTAAAATATCTCTATTACTTACCAAAATATCCGGCCTGTGAGTTTTTATTGGTACACCCTGTATAAAATTCAACTTTTGGGGAGTCGTTCCTCACAAAATACCCAATGTGAATTTGATTTTACGTATTTAAATTTAGAAATTCAAAATTCGCATACACATAACTATAAGAGATACAGGAGTATTCTACGATAATTTATTTAAAATGAAACCCAGATATATTGTTTTATCTTCACGGATTATGAACTAGATCTGTTCTAGACTGAATTTGTTTGCAGTGGACGGATGAGATCAGTCGGCGCGGTGTCGCGAAGAATAGTGGGATTGCCCACGTCTTTACTTCTGCTTTCTCCCTCTTATTCTCGCTTCATATGAATAGTCTTCTTTCTGTTGCTCTTTATAGTTTTGCTCTATACCATGTTAACTTTTGAATCATTTGTAGTTATTTACGAACGTACAGCGTTGCCATTGAATGTTGTCGCGCATCCTGTCATTATGACGTCACCGCCTCTCTGGTTTTTTTTTGTTTTATCTGTCTCAGGCATCTATCGATATGGACGGTCTAATATAGAAGCGGTGTTGCCCTTTATTCGTCAAGTTTTTTATTTATTATCGGCTGTAATTACCATTGAATCATGCGGTATGGTGTTTGTCAGATCTACTCTAGAAATTTTCCTAGAGTGTCTTACTATTCACTGTTTGTAGATTCGCTAAAATGTGTTATCCAACTGTTAATTTGCTTACTATTTCGTTTAAATTTGTTGGGATACACATAATTCAAAAATAGAATTAAATCATTCAACTATTAAAATTTCATCTTGATTTAAATTTTAAAATGGTTTCAATTCAGCTTCACACATTTTTATAAACACGCAGCGCACGAATATGTTTTTCGCGTGTGTTTCAACAGACCTAATGTATATTTTGTAAAATCGCATCATGAGAAATACATCGGAATCCTTTTCTGCATCGATTTTCGTTCAGTAGGTAAAGGAAAGTCGACGGCAAACAAGACGAGAACATGACATACACAATCAAATTACTTTTCCGTGCCAGTCTCCTATTCACGGAAAGAAGAGTCCTCGAAATACGACCAAGAATTGTATTTCGAAATGATTTTTTGTCAGTTTGTACGTGACGCTTTAAAGGCATGTTGAAAAATTACATTTTTCCGAGAGACGGTTGGTTATTGTGTGTCATTTTCGTTTAAAATTTAATCTGGGTGAGTTTTTTTTTTGTTTGTATAAGGATTTTTACAATAATAAGGACGAAATATTTTTTTGACACTTCCCATTAAAACTAAAGACCAAATTATCGAAATGCATACATTTCGATTTAATTGGTAAGCATTACAATAGCTCCTTGAATGAGCACGCTCAAAACTAATAAGAGCCCAGTAGTTATATTATCATAATTTTCACTTTCCCCCGTATTAGGAAACAGATAATACTGTCTGCCTTAAAATGTAATATAATGTATATCATCATTATAAATTCGCTATTGTTCCATCTCACACCTCAAGAATAATAATTATTAATGAATTTCTTAAAGTCAGTCATTACGGCTTAGTAAACCACCTTGAAATATACTATGTGCCGGTAGATGACAGATGCAATAAAATTGTGCTCTATGTTATTATTATTTAGATATCTAGATACCATTGTTACTGATTATAGAGCTACAATTTTAAACATAAATATATTTAATAATAAGGAACCTGTAAATAAAATTAAATTTATCAATAAACTAAATAAGAATAATCTCATAGCTGATTTAACTTCTTATAATTGGAATGATTTATACGGTATGACAGATGTACAAGAAGCAACAATTTACTTTGTTAATACTCTTAACACCCTTATTTCTAAAAATACAACTGTACTTAAACAAAGAAGGTCATTAATTAAAAATAAAGCGTGGATTACGGTAGGTCTCATGAAATCAATAATCACAAGGGATAAATTATATAAAGCATATCGAAAAGACATAGAAAACAAAGTGTTAAAAGACCAATTTATTAATTACAGAAATGAAATTCTTTAAACCGCCTTATTCAAGTTACTAAACTTAATTATCATAGAGCACAGATAGAATCAAATAAAAATAACTCTCAAAAATTATGGAAAACAATAAAAAATTAACAAACTCTAATAATAACCTCGGAAAGTAACTAATAACACCATATTCCTAAAACCCACAAATAAAGAAGAAATTATTGAAATTATACAAAATTTTAAAAAAATAAAAGTCCTGGTATAGATAATAATATAACATTAAAAGAAAATCGTACAGAACTTTCTTCGCCATTCTGCTTTATTATTAATCTAATTATAGAAAATGGAATGTGTCCGATAGAATTCAAGTCTGCAGTTATAAAACCTCTTCATAAAAAGGGAAATAAACTCTTACTAACTACAGACCTGTTTCTATAATAAACAATTTCTCAAAAATTTTTGAAAAAGTAATAAAGATAAGAATCATTTTTAAACAATAATATTATTTCTAAAAAACAATTTGGGTTTCGTACAGGTATTTCTACAGAACATGCAATATTAGACTTAACAACAAAATTATATAAGGTTGTTGACTGCAGCTGTCCGGCCATAGGGGTATTCCTCGATCTTGCAAAGGCGTTCGATACTGTGGACCACTCACAGCTGTTGGATTCTTTGCAGGATGTGGGAATACGAGGAGTTGCACAAAAACTGTTCGAATCTTATCTAATAGGAAGAAAACAATGTGTTAAAATAGATAATAATATAAGCTCGGAAAGGATTGTTCAATGTAGTGTTCCTCAAGGGACAGTTCTAGGTCCCATTCTCTTTACAATATATATTAATAATCTACTTACACTTACAACTTATGGAAAGAACAAGTTTTGTTGATGATATTGTCATCTTTTATACTGCAAACACCTGGAATGATCTGAAACAAAAAATTAAAAAAGATATAAGTAATATTATAGATTGGTTTAATTACAAATTGTTTACAATAAACTTCGATAAAACTATGTTTCTACCTATAACAAGCTATAAAAATAATCTTCCTAATTACAACAAGCTAGAAATCAACAATCACGGTAACTTAATAAATATTAAACAAACAGATAAAGTAAAGTATTTAGGAATAACTATTGACAACCATCTCCGTTGGGACTATAATATTACTAGTGTTACAAAAACTCTTAGGTCAGTACTAGGTAAATTCAAATTTTTAACAAAAGTTTTGAACTTACCTCTTCTTAATATTTCTTTTCATCATTTCTGTTATAATTAATGTCTGTAGATTTGCATCAACAAAATTATATTAATTTGGGAGATATTATAATTATCATAATAATAATAATAATAATAATAATACTCTCCCTAATTCACCCCCTTACGAGTGAATTTTAACCCCAAAAGCTGAGCTTGTCCGGGGAAAGGGACGGCTATTATTATTATTTGCCGTGGCGCTCCGGGGCGACTTAAAGATGATTGATGGTGCCATTTGACTTACAGGTGAGGAAAACCCGGAAAACCTCACCCACCATCATCGAGACGGTAATGTATGGCGAATTTTTTTAATCTGCATGTCATATCAACAGAAATTGAATTTCTATTAATACGCCACACATCAAATCCTAAACCGAACCATGCAATTTAATTAAAAATCCACATGGTCTGGTCTGGGATTCGAAACCCAGCAGTCTCAGACTCATAAACTTGCCTATAAATGAATATAAGCGCGATAGACCGCTACACCACCGTGCCCGAACTACGAACTTTAGTTAATGTTCTTTTAGTAGCAACAATAAAGGGCTGCTACCCCAAAAGACATTGAAATAGTGAGAAGAAAGAATATTTTGATATAAACCTTTTTTTTCTAATATATAATATTTAATTTTGTTAATACTAAAAACAATTAAATAAGTATTACTTAAATAGACATGTTAGCAGTTTGTTCAATGATTTTTTTTAATGTGTCATATTTTGTGTACCAGTTTATATCATCTAAAATAAAGTA